AGGTGACACACTCAATTATCATTTTATAATAAAAGCTATTACAATTTGGTTTCAATTTGTTTTCTGTTTAAAAAAACTATTCTGAGGGATTACAGAAGGGAAAAGTTTTTCTGAAATAGAATGCAAAACTGTAGAAAAACCAATGTTACATGTATATTTCTGTTCATATGAACATTATTAGTCAACTGCTTGTTCAAATGCACGCAGACTAACAAACGTCTCCATACGTCTGATTTGAGGACTGGGCCCACCTATCTCCTTAACCTGTTTCCCTTGAAAGAAATACTTGGTAAAGCAAAAAGTTTATATAAACAACAATAAGCACGGAATCTAGTGTTTTGTTTCATATTTAATATACAGTAACAGAAGAGATTGTGCAGTCAGATCATCTAGTTGAGTACTCAATCAATTTAGGGAAGTATCTATTAGCTATTATTAGTCAAGACTCATAAACAAATCAGACAATATATTATAGACATGGGATCTCATTCATTCAAGTTGTCTCTGAGGTGTTAATGCAGTTCTTAGAATCTGCATGTTTTCCTCATGACTTGTCTAATGTAGGAATGCCCTCACCCCTCCACACCTCAGCAGCAAAATTCACGGTACACTAAAAGAAAAGACAGCAGGGAACGGACATCATGTTGGATTCTCTTACAGCTGAATTAAACGTCCTCTTGTAACTGATCACCCCTTAAGACAGGATGGTCAGAGGATCCATTCTCTGAGCAAAACTGGCACTAGAATACTACCTAAACAAAAGTCTGAATTAACCCTAATGTCAAACATTAAATGATTGTAACTAGAGAAGATAGCATAGCTAGCATAGCATAGTTGACAACATACCAGCTAAGATTAACCATCTAAATTTTCCATCTTAAATTGTATGTAAAAATATTTTTCCCTCCAAAATATAAACCAGTTGTCCTTATTTTTCCACAGTAAGATATTTTACTTGCAGCAGAAAAAGATAACATGTAATATTTTAAGATGGATAGATTTTGAAAAATGCAGGCACTCTTTCACTTTTAAGGTCTTAAAAAGTATATATTCTATACCATTTAGTATCCATATATTAAAATTATTGTCCTTTGTCTTTTGGAAACTGCTTTTATATAAATGGATTACTATTACAGAAAGACAGCTGGCATTGTTTATATTGTTTATATTTATTGCAGGAAACAACTGAGCTATTAGAGAACTACATTTATCCAAACTCTAAAAGCAAAGACCTATAGCTCTGATTAGAGCAGTCCTACTTGAAGAGAAAGATGACCAACCAAATTTAACTTTTCAATACTATCAAAAGCTCCATGTTTTTGATACAAATACAATATAAATGGATAAATTATCTCTGATGCAAATGTAAACATATCTGTTTGTTTCGTTCTAAGAGTATGCATTTGCCTACAAAGATAATACAGATGGTAAGTTTCAGCTGTTTTTGGTTCCGTGCAGTACATATACATTACAGACAATAATATGATGTAAGGATTAATGTGCCTGCAATGTACCTTTAATTCTAAAAAATATGCCACCATCCCCAACCAACCCTCAACAGTCTGGCAGGAATATTTTTTTTTTTTAATTCTTGCTAAAACCCCAGTATAATGTGGATCCCTAAAGCAGTAACTTTTCAGCACGGCGGCAACAGTGCCAAAGCCAGTATATCAACATCTGGCTATTCATAGAACAGAGCAGGTCTGCATGAAGGTAGATGGTGCTCTTACTGAGTTTAATTGGCTAAATGTTCTATGAATTCTACAGAAAGAATAAAAAATAACATTTCTTATTCTGGCTCAAGCTGTGGAGGGCAGGACTTGCTTATTCAGATTAAACCATGCATATTATTTGTCTTGTCTTTTACTAACATATTAATCTTGAAACTTACTATTCAAGGCAAACTAGATTAATACATTCTTTCTCAAAGTTACGAGCACAATTATTTTATTAACTAAAGGGATTGTAATCTAGATTAACTTACAATACTTTTTTGGTTTGCTTCCTGAAGCAGTAAATGTTGCGGAAAGAACAATGCACATTAGTAACAAAATCATTGATTACTACAGAAAGGTGTGATGATAGTAGTCTATTACAATAATTTAAAGCTCTGTTAGTAAACCATTGGTTTTCTAATAACTATTAGGTTATGTTTTGGCAGAATGATAACCTAAGAAGTGAACCCACTCAATACATTAAAAAACACATTGACATTAACCTGTGCTTTCCACAATGACCATTTAGTCTGGAACATGCCTTCTTGCATTTCTACAACATGGAAAGAAATACAAATGATTTTAACATAAAAGAATCTGAACATTACGGTAATATTGGGATACACATACCATTTGTTAGAGAAATGTATAATAGTTCTACAACATTCTTTTGTTAATGCATAGAATAGATATTGTTTTGTCCCTGACAGCAAAGCATGAAAATAAATCTTTGGGATATGCATCTCCATACATGCAAGGGAAGCTGTTCTTACAATACTGATGCTCTGGACATATTTATGAAGAAATTCCTCCAGGGACTTTCTAGAAATATTATTCCTTAGGTGTAATGTAAAATATATATATATATATATATCCTTGCAGATTTTTCAAATAATTTAAAAATGGTTATATGTAAAGGAAGGATTTTTAAAGTTGGACTTGAGAAACCAGATCAATCCCCCAAAAAGGAATTATAATAAAGAAATTATATAGCTGTGTTGTTTTTTATATCAACTCAAATTATACAGCTTCACAATATATTCCATGGAAGCACTTATTGGAAAAGAGCTGAAGGTGTAGAATATTTCAAGCACCTTATTGGAATAACGTGCTTGGCTGAATGTATGTTTATAGAGCTGATAAATGTTTTTTAAAAATTGACTTTTTTACTGTCAGTAACCTAAAGAGAGAGTCCTTGCATTGCTGCAGTAAGTAGAGAACAGGGTAAAAGCTGGCAAAGCAAGATGAAGAGAAAGTCTTGACTTTTTTATATCATACATATCTATTTATCACCAACAGTATCATGACAAACACTTTAACAGAAAAAGTTCTCATAAGGGATTAGAAAGATACAGAAAGAGGATGAAAAGAAAAAATCAAGACCCTACACTGACCTTGGCTATTAAACACATCGTTTCTCAAAGTCCTTCCATTTTATTCAGAATGGTAAAAGTGAATTGTCAATGCTGATACGAAACACTGAATTGCTGAGCAACTCCATTTTGAGTACTCTTTCTGTTCTGAATTGAGCATGAAAAAATATTCAGCTTTGTGCATGCCAGCAAACAGGAATAGCAAGGCCAAGGGTATATAATTCAGGCACGTAACTGAAAAAATACAGCATGATCTGTGGTCCATAATTTTACAAATGTAATGGAAAATCAGGAAAGTATATAGAAGCATATATGTGTATGTATGTATATATTTATAAATATTTATAATATATTACTTACTATAAGAACATGCAATTATTGGTATAGCACCTATTATACAATATAATACAACAGATCTTTTAAATCATTCAGTTTCTCAAAGTATAGCAAATATGCTCCAGATAGTGCACTCCTTCTGTAGTGCTTGAAACCTGAATGAGGCTACGATTCCACACTGTGCTACATTACTTATGGGGAAAAATACATATTTAAGAGTAAAAAATTTCCAACACATTCTGACAGAACAAGAGAATTCAGTGCAGCTTCAATGCAGCATTAGAAATGTGTTAGCTCACAGAGAAAATGTTCCCTTTTTTTATCCAGAGTTACAATTTTGGCAGCAAATAAAATAACATTAAAAATAATTTATGCTGGCTAAGGCGTATGATGACTACAACAAGCAGATCAGTAATTACCAAAGTTCCTCTTATATTTAGCTTCTTCTAATCCATATCTCCATTTAAAGAACTGGTCATACTTACTTTACACACTGCATTGTATTCCATTCCATCACTGATTTCTGAATCTAGCAATCTAAATCAATCACACCTATGTTTGGGAAAACTAGAAATTGCCAATCTTATTCAGTAGGTAATATTTTGGAGCAATGGAAGACTACCTTTAAACACAAGTTTTAATGTCCTCTTTTCCATATTTCAAATCAAGCATATTTTGGAGGAAGTGGGAGGGAATCTACCATGTATATCTACACTATGGCAAAATCAAGAGGATGCTTTCATAGATATAGCACTATTGGTCAGGTATTGGCTCTGTACATATTGGGAAATGTGCATACTATTTTTTTCTATACAATATAGGATTAGAGACTTTTAACATTTCAAACACAGTCCTGTAACCTTATCCTACCAAGTGGTAACTCCTAGAGAAAATAAAGGATCTGCTAATTTTCTCTAGCATACTTCAGTCACCTTTATGAAGAAATTTAGAGCTTCAATTTTCTTCTAGATTAAGGATGAAGTTTCAAGTTTAAATGTGTAAACATTTCACTTCTTCAGTTTATAACACTGGAGATGAACATTATAGTAAGGTTAAGTGAATAATTTCATAAAGGATAAAAAATTCTAGTTAAGTTTTACACTGGCTGTCTCAGTGATGCCCTGAGAAGTAATTGCATTCTAATGTAACTATAAAGATGTTACATGATCCCAAACCCTTTGTATTTCTACCATAATTTAAGATTATCTGACTTTTATTTTATAACTGGAACTGGCCCTAAAAATTAATAAACAGTTAAGTAATCAAATGGATCAGAACCCAAATGCATAACAGAAGCTTTGGGATCTGTAAATATAAGTACACGTTGTTACCTCAAGCTCTTAAAATACAGGGTTGTAATCCTGTGCAATTATATAAATACGTTTTTCTTTCAATTAGATAATTATCAATCAAGAAGGAATGTGGGCAATGGACAAAGTGAAATTGTTTCTGAAAAAGGCCAATATTACACAGAAGACTTCGTAGAATTTTTCTGACTCAAATAATGTGCTTTTTAAAATCTTTAAAAACATAGCAGCTGATTAAACCTCAAGCATAGCAGTGTCCCAGTACATTTCTTTCAGGTTTTATAATTTTCCTTGATGAAAATCTAGAGTCAGCTTATTGTTTTAATAAATAAAAAGGAAAGAAAAATCATATTAAAACACTAATCTCCCAAACAATGTGATTCCAGATGGACTTTCTGGCTGTTCCATCTCCACTCTCCAGCTTCCCTGATCTGCTTGCTGCCCTTTCCTGGGCAATGCCTGGCCACTCCTATACAAAGTGAGCCATATAAATAATTCATCTTAAAAGTTGTTTTTCTCTGAAAGTCAGGATAAATGCTAATCTTTGAAGGCGGTCCCGTTTTTTTTAAAATACATAGTACACAGACACAACATGCATTAGATTGAATGGAGAGGGGGGTTGACACCTGACAAGATTCAGTTCCTATCTGCTAAGTTTACTGGCTGATTTGTTCTTCCCAGTGGGAGGTTTAATGCTAGAAGAGTGATGGCAAGAGGTACTAGATCCTTTCAGACCGTTTTTGCTCGATTTGTTGTAGCAGTGCTCTTGTTGACAGGATCTCCTGGAAGATGAAGAACCTGAAAGACTAGGAGGCGATTTACTCCTTCCAAGATGTGGGGATGAACTTCTCTGCTCATGGTGTGGCCTTCCACCCCGAGATGGTGAAGAACTGGCAGTACGGGGCAGAGAAGAGCTCCTAGGGGAGGCACTGGGACTGCGTCTGGGAATGACTGGGCTTTTGGGTGGAGTCTTGGGGCTATGTGGAGATCCTGGACTCTTAGACTGTGAAGGGCTTCGTGGTTTTTGAGATCCATTCTGAAGGATCTGAGCCAGGCGGGAGATCAGGTCTGAATCAGAACTGCTACTTCCTAGCACTTTGTACCTCCGCAACCTTGAAAAGAAAGAAGAAATTTGTCATTTCTGCATTCTGTTCTTTAATGCAGGATATGTTATATTACATATATTTTATGTATTTCCATGTTCAACTTATAGTTAGGCTTTAAAATATTTACATTACATTAACAGTCAATTCACAACTGGATTACTGCAATTCTCTTTACATAGGGCTGCCTTGAAGACAATTCAGAAGCTACAGCTGATCTCAAATGCAGTGCACAAGGAGTAATAGAGATCCTTGTTGTGTCCATGTGCCATTGCTGCTTTATGAGCTGCACTGGCTACTAGTTAGCTTCTGGATGAAATTCAAAGTTTGGTCACCATCTGTGAAGCCCTTCAAGTTTCCGACTGTTTCTGGCTACTCTAATATGCTTGGTCAGAGTGAATATGCTCCAAATCCCTTTAGTTAAATGCTGTCATCTTGTGGGAACAAGGAAGCGTTCGTTCCTTCTCTGTTGGTTCATGCCCTGTGGAACAGCACCCCTCTTAGCTCCCACTATTCAAGTGTTCCAGAAGTCTCTTAAATCCTAACTCTGTTCTTGGTTAGGCCTTTTCTGGAGTCCAACTTTTTTTTTAAACGTTATTGATTCAGTCTTGTTCAGGTGCTCCTGTTGCTTATTTTATAGAATCTTCTCAAAGTTGAGCAGCATTAAAAACTAATAAATAAACAAGAAAGAAATCTATACAATTCATCCCCTATATGAATCTACTATATAAGCTCTGTTAATTTGATGGCTAGGAAAAAGGAACAAATATTTTTAGTACAGTAAGAACACCACCATGTTATTATTTTCTTGTTGAAATCCAAAAAACTCTTTCTCAAAGATTATTTAAACACAAGAAAAAAAAACACCATTATTCAAAACTGACTTTTAAAGTTTAACAATATATACTTTTTAAGATTGTGTTAACATTGCTGTTTAACTGGAGTTTTTGTTGTTTATTTTTGACATATTTAATTGTTTACTTATTTGCTTATAATTGCTAAATTTAGTATAACTGACTTCCTATATCTAACTTTTTATCTATATAAAAATATCATCTAACATGCAACCTCTGTCTGTGTTACATACCTATATGATATAGCTATATCATTGGAGAAAGTTGTTAAGCAAGACTGTCCACTCATTCCCTTCCTATTTATTTTTTACATTAATGACATTATAATGATGATGGAATCACAAAGCTTTTTTTCTTGCTCATTGAATACATGCAAAATCTCAATTTTAATATATACTGATGACATGACTCTTATCTCTTGCACCAAGACTGGCTTTAAAAGACTGCTGGTCATTGGCTGAATATTGAGAAAGAATAAAACTGTGGCAATGAACTTTAGCACAAGTAACATGGAAAAAACACACGGTCAATTAACATCCACAAAATATAGCAATGTTCTTCCTTCAAATATCTAGCAACTCCTTCTGCAAGTGGGGTACATATCTATCTATTGTTTTAGTAATGTACAATAAGAGTTATCCTGAAGAGGCTTTTTTTTTTTTAAGTTAAAAGGAAGGCAACTTGTAACCACAACTGAAATACTTCAGGATAAAGTGATATCTCAGATATTATATGGGAAGGGGAATATGAAGGCTACTGCTCAATTGAAAATAGTCCAAAACAATGTTTTCCCCCAGGTATTCTGTTTCCTGACTAAAGATGAAAGTAGGTCTACCTTCAATCTCTGTTAAGACTCCATCTTGCATTGCTAAGGTACTGGGAGAAATTAGAAAGCCTTCAACAACCCTGCATATTTAAATCCTGTTACTTTCATTATATGGGTGGGAATCGATGGACCAAACCTTTGTCTCATATACTATAATTTTTCTGCCACTTGTTACGGAACTTACTCAAGCAGAGAAATTTTAGAAGTAGACTCTCTGAAGGGGATACCAGTACACATGGTACTGTAGTAGCAGTCATTCAAATTTTCATTGTCCACCATTTATAAAAAACATGGACGCCTTTCCTAGTATAGATAGTTCTCACTTAGTGACTACTTCGGAGAGCAACCTGAAGATTATGAAGTAACTTTGTGGACTAATGCCTGCATTTATGACTTTTGCAGTGTGTCTCTGTCTCTCAGTAATATATTTGCCATTACAGTCAGTTAGTATTCATTGTCCCGTGTAAAATTGTAAGCACAGACATGATCACATGATTTTAGTACGGTTGCTTAATGAGGACTATCCTTATCTGGCTAATATTCCCAGTGTTCCACTACAGAAGGCTTTTACATTCCACCACTTACAGATTATGCCTGTAGCATATCTCAAAGAGCAATTTTGCAAAACATTCCATGAAACAGCACCTTGCTGGTCAAGTGGAAGACATAATTCTATAATGAGATTAGGAGGAAAACACTGATGATCTACCAAAGGAGTTGGAGGCAAAAGAACTGAATTACCCTTTTTCCACATGCAATTTTATTTATTAGCAATCAGGTTGCTAACTTTTGCTATTTAGTTTATATTATTCACAACACTTATACAGCCACCTATCTCATACTATGATTTTAGGTAGCTCACAACAATCCATAAAACAGTTTAAAACATACCCTTCCCCCCATCCCAGATCAAACATCCTCATAGTTGAATCTCCTATCCTAGCCTAATGTCTGAGGAAAGAGCCATGTCTTCACAGCCTTCTGGGAGGCTTAAAGAGTATGGTCTGATCTCTGGTGACAACCACTGAGATGGCCACCAAAAATATTCAAGAGAGGGAATCTGGAGCACATTCATCCTATCTAAATTAGCAGGATAAACAGATAATCTCAGGGAGACACTGTTCTCCAAGTAACCAGGCCTTGTGCCATGTATGTCTTTAAAGATGATAGCCATCCAGAATCACCTTATCGAGGAGATGGGCAGCATATAAATTTAACAAATAAAATAAAAATAAATAAAATAACCAGCACTTTGAATTGCATCTAGAAAGAAACTGGAAGCCAGTGCAGCTCATGCAGCAGCACTATTGCTCAAATAAATAACGGGATATCCCAATCTGTGCATGCCACTGCATTCTGGACCAATTGCAGTTTCTGTATAATTTTCAAGGAAAACCCCATATAGAACATATAGCAGCAATTCAAACAGGAAGTGATTAAGACATCAATGATGGTGAGAAAGACCTCCCAGTCCAAGAATGGGTACAATTGGTGCAAAGGCAGATCTGTTTAAAGGCCTTCGTGATCACAGCTGTTACCTGCTCCTCCAGCAGGAACCATGAGTCTAAGAGGACCCCAAATTGCAGACCAAATCTGTGCAGGGGAATATTATCCCATCAAGAGTCAGAAATGTCAGTTCTCCAGATACCAGGGGGCCAAAAACCCACAAACAGTCCCTTTTGTTAGGATTGACTCAGACCAGCTTTTTACTCATATAGGCCTTTACAGCATTCAGGTGCTGAGCCAGCACCTACACAGCATCATTTCTCCACCATGGGTAGAAGTCTATAATTGGGTATCATCAGTATACTGATGATACCAAACCCCGTTCAATGCATGACCTCTCCTAATAGCTTGACATAGATGCTACATAGGATTGGTAGCAGCCGTAGTGAAAGAAAAGTGAACCACTGCAATTCAGTATGCCCCACTCCCCAGAGCTGGTTGATGATATCAAAAGCTGCTAAGAGGGCCAGAATGGACACACAAACCACATCATTCAACTCTCCAAATATCATCCAAGTGCTATGTCCTCTTGAGCTCAAAAATACATTTCTAAATTCCAAACTGTAGCATTAGTTTAACTCAGCTTAATTTTTTGCATGTGGCACATTTTTATGTAGGTTGCATTTCTTTTTATTACTATTATTTTTATTTTCATTTTAAGTTTGTTAAGTCTTTTAATTGTTGCATGCTGCCCAAAATCAGGCTCTTATAAGATGGGCAAGCATACAAGTGTGATAAATTAAATCTAACAAGTTTTGCTGTGTTATCACCTAGTCACAAAAATAAAATCATAACTTACTGACTGTATTATACTGTATAATACAAACACAGTCTATTTTATTTCCTATATTTTCTTCTAACCAAGCCACTTTCACTTATTTTAAATAAAATCTCATTTTGTTATTTTTGATGTTGTTTGCATTACAGCAAATAGAAAACATAATATGTATTCTAGCAGCATTATCAAAAGACATGTTACAGTGAAGCTATAGGTTAAATTTTCTGACTATTAAGTGCAGTCTTTTAAAGTATAATTGAATACAGTTATATTACTGACATACACACATTACCGATTTCAATACAGAGGACTTATTATAAAAATGAAAGAATGTGTTTTTATATTCACATACAGATAAACAATTCTTATCATCGCCTTAGAATTATAGAACTCAAATCGGAAAACCAAAACATTTAGAAATCTAGTACCTCATATCCACTTCAGGTACAGATTACAAATGTTAACTCATACAAACCTTTCCTCAGTTTTAAATGAGGAAAAATTATTTGCATATGCACTTGTGTTTCCTCCCAAATAATTAAAGCAACAAAGACCGTGCAATTTTTCAGGTGTTATACTATACAGATGTGCACTTACCTAACTTCTACTCCAGGCCTTGTTGGTGGCCTTCCTGGGGGTGGCCGAGGAAAAAACTGAGCTGAGTTTGAACTGCTAATATTATCTGTAGTAGTCCAAGATACAGGTCTTGGTATTTTGCTTTTTCTGGGTTGAGGGTTATCTGATGACAAAAAGCTCTCTTGTACTTGACTCTGCAAATGAGTGTCCAATGTTAATTTCGAAAAGGAGGTCAATACATCTTCTGAAAATGGTATGGGACCTGCTACTGCTGTTTCTGTCAGTGACTTGTCGGAGGCACTTGAAAGGTCACCCAGAAAAGTTCTGAGCTGTCTCTTTTCTACCAGTAGTCTAACCAAGTCTGTTTGGTGGGCCTTTTTTAGAAGTAGCTTCTCCTTTGCTGAAACAGGAGAAGATTCTGATGAGGAATCTATATCTTGTGCTAAAACTGGTATGCGACTCTGCCTAGCTACAAATGGAGATCTAACTAATTCTTTTTTGGACTGACTAGAAGTTTCAGTCTCTGAAATAGAATAGAATAGTTCTCCATTTCTTTGAATACTTTGCTCTTCTTTTTCCTTTTCATTCAAAAGTGTGGCAAGTTTCACTTGCTGGCATTGCAATTCCTTAGCATGATCAATATCCTCATCATGGAAGCCATTTTCATGCACTTGTATTTCTTGACTTTCCTGTTTGTAAGCAAATAGGTCAGTGCTTCTTGACAGAGAAACGTCTGATGTTTCTGCAGCTGACTGTTTCTGTAACTCCTGTTTTGTACCCTGATTTAGTAAGGAGCAGCTGGCCAAAGGTCTTGGTTCTTCTGGATCTGTAATAACCTGAGGTCCATCCAAAACAGATTCTGTGCTTCTTGAAGCAGTTAAGTACGGTTCCTTAATTTGTATTTCAACAGCATCTTCACAAGCAACAAAAGGTTCTTTGTCTTCTATTCCTTCAACAAGATTCACGCTTTCCCTTCCTTCTTGTTTCTTCATGTATTGTTCAAGTAAATTTGTTTGGCTGTTTTTCTGATTTTCTATGCCTTCAACAACATCTTTATCAAGTGTCCCTTGGTTGCAATCTAATTTGAGAATTAAATCTGTTCTACTGCTGCTAAACGTCAATGCACCATTTGCCTCAACCAAGGCAGCAACATTCTCCTTAGGGGAGGAAAGTTCATTTGTATGTTCCAAAACCCGAGGATCCCGATCTTTCTTGTCTAGATGCTGCCCAAAATGAAAACTCTCAGAAGTAGACTGTGTAGATGCCATTGATGGCCTGGGGATTGTAACCTGTAAAGAAAATATTTAAATAATGAGTTGGTCATAAATTATTATTTTGACATCATCATACATTATCAAATCAAATTCAAAACAGTAGTTAATAACTTGAATACAATGAAAAAGAAGCGTTCAGTCCAATTTGGGATCACTTAACAATAGAGTGATTGTTTTACTCAAACCGCTGTTATCAAAATCACTTATCTTATTATTCTCATTGCCTAAATGTATCTGTCTTTATCCACCTTATTCTATTTGCTCTAATTAGTCCCCTTTTCATGCTTTTAATTTAATTGATGTACTTTCATTTCTAATTAACACAATGTAAAAATGTATTCTCAGCCTTCTATTTTATTTTACTTCCTATTCTTGTTCAAGTTTTAATGGGCTATAGGGAGGCAGGCCTTAGTAATCTAATCTTATACGTCTTTCCTGAAAACTCAACTTTACTTTGGTGTAAAGATACATCAGATTGTAGCTTCACTCTATAATATATA